TCATGTTTTAAATATGGCCAAATGTGCGGCCAGTTGTCGGCCATGTTCGGTTCGTTTTTGTCCGCCTGGCCAATCGATCAGGCGCTGCGTTTAAGTGGCCTAAACGAGTGGGTCGAGAGGATACGCAGAATACGCAACTCATTGGCTTAGTATTTGGCCTTAATGCGTGCCTATTGATTGACCGCCAGGCGGGGCTCGCAATTTCCGGCTACTGCAGCTACCAACCAACCTCTGGACCAAGGCGAGAACTGGCCAAGATGCTGCCCCATTGACGCAATCAGCTGACGGAATCGAACTTCTATAAATGGCAGTCGGCAATTGCGTCATTTGAAACAATTAACAAACAGAAACTTGTTGGCCGATAATGACGAGGAGAAGACACTCCACTGACGGGTTGTCTTAGAGCTGAAACGAATGGCAATTTGCTGTGGTGGGGCTACTGTACAGTGAGCACACAGTAGCTGGACCGTAAGGCTTCAAAGTAAGGAGGTTCTCTCGAGTTTAGTATTTTGCGTGGGAGCCTCAATATGGACCCCCTAGAAAGCTAAGATCCACTAAGTACTTAGTAATTATCACATTTGTAGTTGGTCGTCCACTGGCCAGGAGTCCATTCTAAATGGCCAACATCTCCCCAGGCACACCCACTTCCCACTGGCCATCGGCCATCGGACTAAACAAGTTTATTGAGTTCCCCATTGCATGCTGATGGATTTACGCGGCAACATTGACACATTGACACTGCTTAGCATATTGGGGGAGCCATTAGGCCCGGCCAACACCCACTTGGGAGGCAGCTGGCGCTGACCCGTCGGAGTCCCCTCCTCTGAAAACCCCACAAACCCCCCCTTTATACAAGACTGCTCCCATCCCATTACCCAGCTGCAGTTGAGGTTTTCTAATTTATTTTGTATGCATGGCCGTTAAGAGTAATTGGTCATTGAGAAGGATGATGAGGCCAACTGGGAAGGGGGATCGGGAATGGCATTGGGAAAATTACCAGTATTTCCTGTGCCCCGGCCAGCCTGCAGATTGATGATAATCGTGCGTCGTGTGTGTCAAGTTAGTGGCCCAGGCCAGGCAATTTCTTCCTCTGATAGTGAATAGTAAATAGTAGGAGGGTGTGTGTCAGTGTATGGGGGGCCAGAATTCTTGGCCATCAGCTATCAGTTGGAGGAGAGCCTTGTCATAAATGTGAAAGTCACAAATGGCACCTCCACCTCCGACAAATCGCTTGTTTAATTCCTCCGTTTGAATGAGTTTTCCCCCCTCCCCGTTTTACCGTTGAGTGGAAAACGACGCCTCCAGGCTTAACACTTCTCCGCTTCTGACGGGCGGGAGGAACCCGAAAACAGTTCTCCCGATCGCCCAGATGCAGCAGATCCGCCACCAGCAGCCACAAACGTGACTCGAATCCCACCAACACACTCCGTCGCGACAGAGACGGGGACAGTGACACAGACAGAGATAGCTGGTGAGATGGGAGATGGAGGAGGTGGGAGTGGGAGTGAGGGGACATTGAGTCAGACAATTGCATAATCTAGCCGTGGCCATGGCCATGGCAATTGCGATTACGATTCCAATTGCAGTTGCACTTGCAATCCCAGACTCGCCTCGCCGATCCTCACTCACACTCCGTGGGCACGGCCATGAAACAATTGTTGCAACATTGCCCATGCCTCCAAGGCTACACTGAGAGAAATTCTATAAAACCAAAAAGAATTTTAAAACAAAGAAAGTATTTTAATTTTTCAAAGTGTTGGGGAGGTAAGTCCCCGGCAAGTGGTAGGAGGAGATGTCGTTCCCACCTTTCACGACTGCTCTTCTGCCGCTTAGAGGAATAGGAGAGATGGGTAGATTGGTGGGAAAGAGAGACAAGCTGGCGATGACTGCGGCCACAAAAAGATGCCATTTGCATGGCAATGATTCGGGTATTTTGGCCTAAGCTGCGGTTTCCTCCCAGTCTTTCAGTCTTTCGGTCTCCCAGTCTTCCAGTCCAGTCCAGTCTTAGCCAGGCTCAGAGTTTAAGTCAGTTTGTAAACGATTTTGCACGTTGCAGTTGTCGTTTCGTTGTTGCTGTGGCAGTGTTGCAGTGTTGCAATGTTGTTGTCTTATTGATTTGTGCATTCATTTGATTGTGCGCGCACATTTGTTGCCAAATTGTTTGAAGGAGAGCCTGGCCGGGCCAAAAACATTGTCGTGGCTGCTGATTGGCGATAGCCAAGTCGGAGGAACCACCACTCGCCTGGTGCTGACTATGCTGTCCTGTCTATCTTTCTCCCAGCCATGTTCGCCTGCTGATGACTCCCCGAATATCACAGCTGAGGATTTGATATTTGATGCACTTGAAGAAACATTCTAGCATGGAACTACACACTTTCGAATACCTTTTAAAAAACGGTTTCCTGAAGTACTGGGCATAACTATATTACCATAAAAGCCTATAAAAATAATGTCTTTCTTGACCATTTCTCTTGGATTTCTTTCTTGGAACTTCCCTACGGGTCATAGTAAAATGTAATGTTATTTCTTTTAAATTTATTGTTAATGGAAATTTATGCCCCCCATTCAATGGCTGCGGCAACAAGCTGCTTACATGATTGGGCGGCGGCGCGCCGGTGGGGCTGGCTCTGAGCTCCTGCTCATGTGGCACGTTTTGCTGATTTGTCATGTTTGCAGGTTAAATGCTAATGCCGACTTCGATCCGGCCTCCCACTCTGCCACTCAATCTGATTCTCAGAACTCTTCCGCCGTTCTGCTTCCAAGGAGATGATGCCTTGTAAATGTGGGTTAAGCTTTGCTCTGTGTCTAAGTTTTTTTCTAGCCTGTTTTTTGTCTGGCAGCGGTTTAGGGTTCTCACGAGTTGGCTTGGCCCATAAAAATGGTGTCAAATAAATTGTAATCAGTGGTCGGCAATAAAAATTCAATAAATGAAGTTGCAGAAAAGGCCGGCAAGGGCCAGACCATTTTCAAATTCAATTATTTCGAGTCACAGTCCGCAGTCTCGCCCACCACCAGTCTTGGCTCAGGGGCAACAACTTTATTGTATTTATTGGCCAAGAAACTGGCTAAGCCTATATTGGGGATTGCTCAATATTACGTAGGTTTCTTATGGCACGATTGTTGGTGTCTTCATATTAATACCAATTTGTTATGGCAATATTAATATCAGTTGCTATTTTATAAAGTGTGTATGAAAGGATAGTTCCATTGATAGTCGCATAAAAATAAATATGTAAGAACTATAGATCTGTAGATCTAAATCTATTTAGATTTATGTACAAAGTCAGTTGCTTTTATTTCTGTAACTATATATCTTCCTTTTTCTAAGAGGAATGCTACACATTTTAATTGCATCCTCCTAGATTACCTTCCACTTTTATGGCCAATTACTCAAGAATTAGGGCCTAACTCACATTCCCAGTTTCATTCCAACCGCTCTGGGGGATTGAGTGGCCTCTGCACCTTGTCAGTTTGTAATTTCGAGTCCATCAAGCCTTTCGACGCCTCATTGTCGGCATCCTTAGTGGTCTTATAGTGCTACAGTTTCGTATTTGTTTTATTAGGGGCTTTCCTTTCTACCGATAATAGGTACTCCTCCTTTAGCAGAGTCCCCAGCTCCCGTTGAATGCTTTTTGGCGGAAGTCGTGCCTCGCGGATGGTGGGCAGGCTGGCTCTTATTTTAATTTCTTGGGGCGCCGCTTGCATTACGCCCACCTTGAGGTGGCTGCTCAGATTACACGGTCACAGACAGATGGAAATGGTTGAGAATTTCCCCCAGAACACGGGGACATGGTGAGGAAAGTATAGCATTGCCATTTTTAATTACCTCAGCCAGCGCTTTTCCGCATTTACTGCCCGATCTCATTGTTCCCAGATAGATTTCACTCTCGCGTTGGCTAATTAAACCAAATTATTGCATGTCTATGACTCTCGGGTTACCAATGAGAGTTGGCTCGGTGTTCGGCGGGTTGGCAATTCGAATTCCGCCCAGAAATTGCGAAATTTTCCGTGGCCATTAGTAGGAGATTAAGTAGTTAGAGTCAATTATTTAAATTAGTTTCTGCGTCTGCGTTTGCATTGGCAATCACTGGCGATCCCAGATGGTTAGTTCTAGCCTGCTGCTTGCTCCAAATCCTGGCCAACTAATGGCCTCGCCGGCAAAAGCATTTAAGCCGATAATTTTGTGGCATCCTACACATGTTCGACGGTAATAAGATTTTGATTGCCCGGCCCGGGCTCCGGCTGGGGCTAAAATTATGCCAAAGCGAGAGCCGAAGCGAACTAAACTAAACCAAAGCACTGTGTGAGTGTGTCTGGGGCTAATGCCAGGTTTTTGCTTTCCACCGGGAACCCAGAAAGTAGCCCTGCGAGTTTATTAAGCCACTTCGATACAAGACAACGCAGATCGCGATGCACGATAAAAAAAATAGTTTTAAGAAATACATAATTTTTATTAATTCTAATACACGAATATAAAACACGATATACTTTAAATGACGTACAAATATTTGACTCATAAGTTAAAACAATAAACAATATACGCCCCTAGTACTCTAGTTAGAAATTTCTATATCTACCAAAGGTCGATGAAGATTAGCCCCAATTTCTGTTCAAATTAAAACAAATTCCAATTCATTTGAACTAATCTGTAACAAATTACCTTAAATGTTGTTTTTATAGAGCAATTAGCTATTTGTTCAAGTGTAAAGTGGCGAGTAAAACAAAAGACTTAAGACACAAACTCGCTTTACAGCACATGGCAATTATGTTTGGCAATTGTTTAGTGTTTGCTGCTCGGGTCCATCTCGTCAACGTTCGCCGTTGATGATGACGATGATGTTGATGGGAGGGCGTGGTCGGTTAGCCAGTCTGCACTCCTCGGTCCAGAATCCAGTCCAACTCCAATCTGTGGTGCGACATGCTAGCCCACTTTTTGCAACGTAAACGAAAAATGTGGAAACGGCAGCCTCAATTCAGTTTCCATTTTCTTCTGCTTTCAGGCTCCCACAAGGTGCACTGCTCCGAGGACCAGATGAGGGTCGACATTGGCCTGCCGGAACCGGAGGGCAAGGACCAGACCGCCCCTCAGATCTATCTGGAGGGACTCAAGGGCTATCCGGATGTGCGTTGCCAGCCTCAAATCGATGGATCTCTGGCAGTGTTCCGGTTGTCACTTAGTGACTTTTACGAGTGCGGGGTCACCAGGATGGTTAACCAGCTAACGGTAAGCGGAACTGGGATCACCCATGTTGGAACCCTTATGGCTCTAATCCCTCTCTCTCGTTCTTCGTATCGTTTTGCAGGGAAAGAAGGTGTACTACCATAAAATTATTATAGAGTCTGCTAACAGCAAGGAGATCGTCAGCGTTAAATGCATCACTACAAGCAGTCCCGCCTATAATGTCATGATGAATGCCACCACCAGCTCCAGCTCCAGCTCCAACGGACGCGGCTTGGTCAAGCGGGATGTGCTGCCGGCGGGTTTCCAGGAACCTGAGTAAGTCTGCCTGCCATGGGCACACGCTCCGGATCGGAGTTCCTGTTTCTGTCTCCCAACTTTTAATTGGCCATAAAAACAGAATGCATCTATGCACATTTTTATGGGCAATCTATGCAAAAGTTTATTGCATATTAAATGCCCAGCACCGGCCATGGCTAAGAGCCAACCAAGGGCCATAAATCAAATCCATCCCATCTGGCCGCCTCCAACTCTCTCTTTCTCTGGGCTGCTCCGTTTCTCTCCGGGCTTTTCCGAGAGTTGCCATTACCAGGAGGTAATTAGCCGCCAAATCGACGCCGGCGGCTTCACATGCGTTAATACCTCCACGGCCAATTTAATTGCGGGGCGTGTCGGGGTCTGTCTCAGAGCCTAGCCCCACTCCCCGCCCCATACCTGATCGAATACAATGTTTGTTTTTCATTGCCCGGCGTTGATTTATAGCCTACGTTGGAGTCCTTTCCCCACCGATCATTAAGTTACAATTGCTGTTCTGAACATGTTGATTCGATTCTCTTGCAGAGACCTGGAGATCACCACCTCGCTGACCAAGCGGGCCCCAGAACCCAGGCTCTCCATTGGAGTTAGCCAGGATGGCCAGAAGTTCACCAGGGATTTGACTGTTAAATCGGTAAGTTAAAACAAAAAACAATATAATATTAATCTGAATATATTAATTATTTTACTTTTATACAAAAAGGGAACCCCCTTGACCATGGAAATCAATCTTGACGAGGACTCGGCTCCGGTTTATGGCTTGGGAGTAAATTATCTTGATGTGACTGATACACACACCTCCTCGGAGACCTTGATCTTCAAGGGGTAAGCAAACAAAGCATTTTAATATTATCCTTAAATTAAATATCTGACTTATCCAGTTGCACTGTGGATCCTTATCTGTTTGAGAACTTCAACACCATTGACGGAGACATTCTGAGCGCCAAGTTCAAGGCCTTCAAGTTCCCAGACTCCTCCTACGTCCAGTTCCGGGCCACGGTCAATGTCTGCTTGGACAAGTGCCTGGGCACCCAGTGCTCCAACAACCAGGTGGGCTTCGGCCGTCGCAAGAGGGAGATCAATGCAAATGCGGCGAATAAGGTCTACGAGATCTCGGTGGCCATGTTCCTGCAGGTGCAGGACATCGAGGGCGTTAACAAGAGTAAGTTTACAGGCTGATTGTTTGTGGCTAGCAATTAAATTTCTAATATATTGATTGACAGATGAGGTACTGCAATTGGAGGAGAAGCTTCAGGAGCTGAAGCTGGCCAACCAGCGCCTGGCCAGAAACAGTCGCGGCAACTTTGCTAGCAGCGCTGTGGATCAGTCCCCGGCCAGCGCACTGCCCGCCTTCGTGGTGGACGAGCGGGAGTTGGGGCAACTCACCTCAGGATCGGGATCTGGATCTGGATCGATGGGCCTTTCACTCCTCCTCTGGACGCTGCTGGGTGCCCTGAGTTGGCGGCTGATGTAAAAGAAGAAGTTGTAAATCAAGTAAAGCTCTCGAGATGTGGACGGAGGAATGCTAATCAGGTCGGAATTGCGTGCAGTGGCAATGAACGAAGGAGGGAATATTAATGTACTACCTAACTACTAATATATACCTATACTTGATGTAACTGCCATTTACAGAACGTAATTAACTTTAAATGTATTCGTAGCATAAGTTTTCTACGACTTATGGCAGGAGGCATTGCGACAAACAAACAAAAAATATACAGAAAACAGTGATTCTTAAAAAAAATACACAACACTTATAAATATATATAAATACATATATTGGAGAACTTGATGAAGAACTCGGTCTAACTCATAAGCACCTACTAGTCTCCTAAGTGTAACTGTTAAGCTAATTTAATTAACGTCTAAACTAATCGAATTAATTGATTAAACTTAACTCTGATCAAAAGTACTTTGCCAGATCTGTTAACTATAAAGCAGAAATGAATTTGTTTAGGGAATGTTCTGGTGGGCCTACATTCTGTCCTATCTGTGCTTCTCCGAGGCAGCTGCTTTGTTGGAGTCCTCAAGGGTGTCCAGGAAATATCAAGACCGGGAAAGTTCCAAACTGATCGATGTGCTGGTGGACAAACGTAGGAAAAGGCTCCTAGGTGGGGAGATGTATGACGACCAGATACAAGTATCAAGAGCTGCTGAGACCAAATTTTTGGATGAATCTAAGGAAATATACCTCAGACATAATAAATATTTGTCAGCACCCTTGCGACTATACGCCGATTGGGGTAAAGTATTCAGATTTTATATACATTCATAGCTTTGATCATATTATACAGGCTATACCATGGATTCCAAAAGTCCTCTCAAGGAGGAATGCCACTCAACGGCCTACTATCCCAACTATTCCTGGTTGGCTGTCAAAAAGAGGAACTCGCTGATTAGGGAACCACGTAGATTTTTAACCAGCGTGCGAACAGAAATGTACGAAAAGGCTGATGCTGAGAAATGCCACACGCCGGAAATGACGAATGTTCTTGACTTTTTGGATTGTCAAATACGCAGGCATATGCGACTGGAGCTGGAAATTCCTAAATACCCCGACGTCCCAAAGTAATTTTCAGATATTTTTATTTAAATATTTACAATAAATGTGTTTTATTAAAAAGTGTTTTAAGTTAGTTAGGGGTCCGTTGGGGTTTTTTGTTATCGTTACGTTGCGCGCTCAATCAGGTTCCACTTTTCTCCACTGATGGCGCTGCGGATCTAGATTTTGAAGGTTATCGATATATCGATGATTCAATCGAAGTGTCGCCGTCTCTAATATGAATACAATTTACAAATTACAAGAAATTTACACATAACGACTAGCATATTAATAGAAGGGAGCGCGGACATTGGCGCCTCAGTCAAAAGCAAGAAAATAGAACCACCGGACTTCCAGCGGAGCAGGCAAGCGAAGATTTTGCACGTCGACTTGGCAAAAATCCCAGATTTGCCAGCTTGTCGCGGTTTGTTGACTTTCATGACTGCGTCTGCAGCTGTGACAACACTACAGTAGATGCGGCCGACTCCAGCTGGGCCCCTGCCCGTGCCCGATGCTGGACACGCTCTTTGGACACGGGAGCTCGACACGGGTGCGCGGCAATCGCCACAGTAGACGAGAGTGCCGAGGGCTTCCGATCCCACCGAATCGCCGGCTTGATGCCAACGCCACAGTAGAGAAGCAGAGCTGCAGACGCCCCCCCACCAGACCCCGTCGGAGTCTTAATAGAAATCGAAGCCGAACAAAATGCGGTCGCGCAAGGTGCTTTTGGTGATCGGTTTTCTGGTTACGTGGACATACGCCACCTACTACCTGCTTCTGCGCAACACGGGTGTCGCTAACACCAGGAACCAGGCGCACCAATCGTACCGGATCAACTCGCAGGCCCGTGAGGCGAACCAGAAGAGCCGTGACTTGGCCAGGAACGTTTTTGAATTTGTCAAAATCAAGTACAAGGACAAGAGCTTGCCGGCCACAACGCCCCAGATTAGTATAGTGGCCGCTGAGATATCTGCCGAGCTGCCGGAACAGCTCATGGCCAAACCTACGCCTGGACGGATACCAACAAAAACATATCTGGCCAATGGCGACCCCGTCTTCCCCGTCATAGTCTTCGCCTGCAACAGGGTATCGGTGAAAAAGTGCCTCGATAACCTTGTTCAGTACCGGCCCAGCGTCGAGCAGTTCCCCATAATTGTCTCACAGGTATGGTTGGTTAGTATTCCTCAGCAATTATAAACTAATACCATTATTTTACCCAAGGATTGCGGTGATGAACCCACAAAGGAAGTGATTCTCTCGTACGGCAACAAGGTCACCCTAATCGAGCAGCCCGATCAGAGCGACATCAAGGTGCTTCCCAAGGAAAAGAAGTTCAAGGGATACTATAAGATAGCCCGTCACTATGGCTGGGCGCTCAACACCACGTTCGGGGTTGGCTTCGAGTTTGCGATCATCGTCGAGGATGATTTGAATGTGGCGCCGGATTTCTTTGAATACTTCCTGGGCACTCATAAGCTACTGAAGCAGGACCCCAGCCTGTGGTGCGTGTCCGCGTGGAATGACAACGGGAAGGCAGCGGTAGTGGATGCGGCGCAACCGGAGCTGCTTTACCGCACCGACTTCTTCCCGGGTCTCGGATGGATGCTCACCAAAGACCTGTGGTCCGAACTCTCGGTGAAATGGCCCAAATCGTGAGTAAAGTAATCATGTCATTTGGCAGCCGTTTGCTAATTGTTCGTAAACTGTTCTAGTTTTTGGGATGATTGGATCCGACACCCAGCTCAGAGGAAAGACCGTGTGTGCATTAGGCCGGAAATATCGCGCACCCGTACGTTTGGAAAAATAGGCGTATCCAAGTAAGAGATAAATACCGAAAGTTACATATGTTCGCTAATGGTTTACGTTTTTCTGTAATTTTATCAGCGGTCTGTTCTTTGATAAGTATCTGAAGCACATTAAACTCAGTGAGGACTTTGTACAGTTCACGAAAATCAATATGAGCTATTTGCTGAAGGTCAGTAGTTGTTACATTGCCTGCACGACATCAATAATTACTTTCCATGTGCTTTTAGGACAATTACGATAATACGTTCCTGCGCCGAGTTTACACGTACCCCATTGTCACGTATGATGAGCTGCGACGCAATCTAATAAGGTGAGTTAATGATGTTGTACCCTGTTTTTTGGATAATTTAAACATTTTTACAGAATTGATGGGCCTGTTCGTATTCAATATACTACGCGAGAGCAATATAAGCGTATAACCAAGATGCTGGGTTTGATGGACGATTTTAAGGTTGGTTTAAACTAACATCTCTAATCTCTTAAGATATAATAACCTTTTCCTTCCATTTTTAGAGTGGCGTTCCTCGAACTGCCTACCACGGTATCGTTTCCTTCTACTACAATAAACGCCGTGTGCACTTGGCTCCGAACGCCAACTGGAAGCAGTACGAGCTATCGTGGAGCTAACGACGCTAAGGCCATAGGGCCACCAACTCTACTTACACCTCCATCACACAGCTAGCCCCGTGTGCTTGCAATACCAAAAATAGTCCTATGTGAATTTTATTTTGTTTGACCAATTAGCTAAGTTGTAACTATGGAATCTCCTTAATCGAGCAGCAGCTGCTGCTTGGACGCAACTAAAATCAAATCAAAAGAGTCTCCATTATGTATAGTAGTTAACAGAACCAGAGTGCGGCCAGGGCCTAGAGCCTTGTTCCAATCAATCAAGCAACGCCATGAATTGTAAATACGTCGGTGTCGTTTTGCTTTTGTTACAGCTCTCTGTTCCCCAGAATCTACCGTGCTAAATCGCAAATAGATGTAGAGACGGTTAAGTTATAGTAATTAGCATTTAAGTTGGATCCACTTGAGTTCTAACTGTGTAACTGGCGTGTAATATTTGTGATTTTGATTATTTAATTTACATTTATTAATTGTTGAGAGCCAGTCAGTAAACAGTAATACCCGACCCACAATGTAACATAGAATAGCAATAACTAGCGCTAGAACTATAAATAGAACTAGAACGAGAACTAGACCAGTGCCGAGCCACGTGGGGTGATCCAATAATCCCAGAATGGTCTGAAAGTGTGCCACTCTCAGCTAGTTGTAATGGAATCAACCCAGACGAGACACAGACTACCCCCTATGACTACCCTTTGTATGAGCAAATTTTTGTGTGACAAGTACGGAATATAAATTCTAATGATAACAAAGAACTGAAGTTTCATTTCCATCTACTCCACAACAGTCGCCTCCTCCTCCTCGTCCAGCTGCTCACAGTCGATGTCGCTGCACTCGGACTCCGACTGTGAGGGTCTGCGGCTTCTCTGGGCCTGAATTAGGCCCTCGTGGCCATAGGATGTTGTGCTGCCCGAAACTGGGGTGCTCCGGTGCTGTAGGAAGTTCGCGTTGGCATCGCCAAAGACCCGCTCCAGCTCCGCCAAGCCGTTCGTGGATCCAGTTTCCGTTTCTGGCGGCAGTGCGGCATACTTGAGCTGCAGGTAGGCCTCGCTTTGGGGATGAGGCGTGGAGAAGTCCACGTAACTGCCGGCATAGGACTTGCAACGCGGTATATAGCTGCCAGATGGAAGTCCTCCGACTGGTGGCTTGGCCACTCCAAAGGGCATCGGAAAATTGAGTGGCTGTCCTCGGGCCAGGATTGCATTTCGAGCACTCTCCATCACACTAGGTCCTGGCAAAGGTGGCATTCCGCCGTTGGCAGTATAGGAACGCATGGATGGACCCGGCCCAGCGCCGGTTGCAGCCGCCAGGGGAGCAGCCGATCCGCTGCCGTTCAGCATTATCGACTGAATGGGCGTGGGTCCCGTGGGCGTCTGGCTAAAGAGCCACAGACGATCACCCACCACCATGGGCCTGGCCAATCCACCGATACCCAGCTGAGCGTAGTAGTGCGAGGCCAGTGTCTCCACATCCGAGGTGTACTTGCGCTTCCACTTGGTGCGTCGGTTTTGGAACCAGATTTTTATCTAAAAGGGGTGAAAAAAATTATTTTTTAAATTAAATTTTTATTAAAAAACATTAGGAATATATATCATAGATTAAAGTCCTGCTTTCATACCTGCGTTTCCGTCAATTGAAGCTGCTTGGCCAAGGCTGTTCTTTTGGCCACCGACAGGTACTTCCCCCTCTCGAATTCCGTTTCCAGAGCCTTTATTTGGGCAGCCGAAAAAGCAGTTCTTGGCCGTTTTTTACGATCATCGCCAAGGGCTGTTTTAAATGGGAAAAATAAAGAGAATTAAATTAGAAATAATTGCAACAGACAGCGTTCGTGCTGTGGATTTAGTGCCAACTATTTTAGGCTAATTGTAATTTGTCTATTCATTGGCAAGGCTGACAACCCAAGTCTTTTGAATCAGACTGCGAACAAGCGTTCACATTTCAATCAGAAAATTGCACTTTAGTTAGCCAAGTCCTCTAATTGGCCATTTCGCTGTGTACATTCTCTTGGCTGACCGAAAACAAATTGTCATATAAATTCCTCCTCCTCGGGTGGAAGAATCTCCTTTGTTGGTTTCTGACACTTGCATCATTAGCCTATCGCGTCGGTGGGCTCCCCAGTGGGGGTAAGACTTCTCTATCACCCATCGGGCTAATTTTTGATCATTTGTTTCTCGATCATGAGGTTGACAGATGAGATCACTCATCCATATCATTCGTTCAGGTGGGAGGACTCTTTTGTCGTTTTAAAATTGAAATCATTGCGACAGTGCCAAGATTTTCATGGATGGTGTGTTATTTTCCATGAAATGGCTTTGTTATTAATTGTTTTAAGTCATCTTTATATACCTTTTCAGAGAGTACTATAATTTTGGTCAAAAGTGCGCAACGCACTGATCGAGAGATATCTGACCCCATAAAGTATATATATTCTTTATCACAATTCCCTCCAAAATCGATAAAAGAATGAACGCCTGTCCGTCTATCTGTTTCTACACAAACTAGTGTCTAGGTTTAAACTTTAAAACCATTAAGTTTTAACCTAGCACACTTCCTTCTTTTCTTTTCACTTAGTGTAGACTAAATCCCATAGCTGCCATATAATCCCATAGCTGATTGATCGGAAAAGATGTTAGTTTTTAGAAATTATAAATCTGGAAATGGAAACTTTCATATTTCCATTTTCTACAACTTTTATTAAGAGTAATGAAGATTCAAATTTTATCGCTTTTTTCCGTATGAAATATTTCAAGAAGATGGTTTAATTTGGTAAAATTTCAATAATACTTGTAAAGATAATTAATTAATAAATAGCAACCCCTCCTTAATTGTTCTAAAGTTGTTCTAAAGTTGTTCTAAAGCAGGCCTACAAAATCGGAAAAATGGTTTGTAATTTTATTTTTTGTAAAATACCTTAACGAGAAAACACAGAAAAAGTCCAAAAGAGTGTATTAAGATATTTTCTATTTTTATATTTTTTCAGATTTTTATTGGGCTTAAAAATTATTTTATTTGCCAATTTTCCCACTAGTTCCATTTAATTCCAATAAATGTTAGCTTTTCCGATAGCGGATATCCGTTAAAATCTAAAATGGCGTCGCTGGCCAGCCAGTACATCAATCATACGCACCGTTGCCGTCGTCAGAAGTCAATTCAATATCACTTTTGCCGTCGTCCAGAGTATCCTCCTGGCAACTCGATGTGGCTGGACTTGAAGCTCTGGAAACATCACAAATACTGCCACGACCACCGTCGTCCTGCCCCTGAGGCGAACCACTTGAAATCAGTTGAAAGGAACTCGCACTGGGAACTTGTGGCTTAGCCAAAATTTGTTCAATGGAAAAACTGTGCGGATACCGACGCATTGCCGAAGAGGAATTCATATTTTCACAAAAAACAACTATATTATATTTTATGAATTCTCAATAAATGTTCTTGATTCCCTTCGAAGGAAGGACGTATCCCGCAGACAACAGCGCGCGTCGAGATCTTCCGAAAAACTAATTTGAATATTCTGAACATCCTGAGCATTGGGCGATTTTTCAAGATGATCGCCCGACGGGGCGTGGCATAAACAGATTATCTGCCTCCTGCTCACTCTTAGGTCCTACAAACAGGGGCAGAATGAAATGGGAATACCATTCCATTCCCACAGAAGACCAGACATATGTGTGTTTATTTTTAAAACATGTGTGAAATGTTGGTGTCGGAGGCGTGGCTTTCGGTTTCTCCGTCTTGAATATTTTCCTATTCGTTTCTGTCGCCTCGCCTGTGATTAAAAGTCATAATTTTTGGCTAATTGTCTACAAGTAGTGCTATTTAATATTTCGATGGCTTGCTAAATATATTTAATACGTTTGCCAACATATTTCATTCATTTGATAAATGAATGGATGACCGATTTTGAGCGACTGGATTTTGTTTGAAAAGAGTGGGTATTGGTGTGGGGACACGTGTAGGACTTGCCTATTATATTTAATATTCTATATTTATATTTAATTTTAATGTAAATCTTAAGAAAGACTTCCACCTGACTGAACAAATGAGAAAATTATTCGAAAACTCACTGGCTGACCAATATAAAACGATCATTAATTCCAAATTACAAACCCATAATTCAGATCATTTTGATTTCCAAATAGCCTCGGAAATACCTCGGAAATTAGCTTGTGGCATGGCCAGAACAGCAGTTCTTCAGTTGGCCAAAAGCCAACTCCACGTCATTTGCAATACAAAGTGTTGGGCCTGGATGCCGTGTGATAACGTCTTAATTATTCATGCGCGATTTGAACAAAATATGTGAAAACACGTTAATTAGTCGCCCAGATGGGAGAGGAAGGATGAGGGTGAGGGAGAGGACGAGGACGAATCGCATCGCATCCATTTAGCCGGCCAAACTGTCAGTTTGATTTAATTTAATGAGAATACCGAGGGACGGGATCTGTTCATGGGGCCGCATGCCCGAGTGTCGCGGGCACTCAAATCAAAATGACAACTTAATTTTCATAATTGCGCTTAATGAATATTGGACTATTGCTTGCCATATTTCAAATTCCACTGCCAGACAAAGTGTAGACTTTGTTGTGATTATGCTAAAGGGATAGTACATATGTAAATCAGATTTTAATCACTTATAGCCAAGAAATTCGTGCTATTTTAATGATATTTAAGATAGTTATTTTAACCCGTTTAGTTATGCAATAAAAATGTTAAATATGATATGATCCTAACCCGAGCATCGCGTTGCTGATCGCATTTAACGTTAAATGGAGCACAGCCGTGTCAGGATTTAATTAATAACCAAGCATGCATCTTCATTATAAATCATCACTTCTCAAGTGTTTGTCAGGCGCACGCAGCATAAATCACGGAGCCACAGTCCCGGGCGGAGTTGCACTGGCAGTCGCGTGGAACAGCTCGCACTCCGGCCGTAGTTTTTTGGTTTCCCCTCTTTTTTGTCATCGCATTCGGCTAATGATGCATTCAGGTCCAGGTCCTGCCTGGTGTCTCTCTAACTTGGGTATCGCCGGCACATCGATCATTGCTCCAGCCATCGCTACGGGGTAACATCTGTATCTGTTTCTGCGACACTCCCACGCCATTGTCTCTCGCATATTGTTGGGGTTTCCGATTACGTCAAAGGTGATGTTGTGATCCTTCAAGGGATTCCTTTCCAGGGCGAGCATTGAACTCTTTTTGGAAACCGTAGCCTGATTAATTTCCTTGGCTGTCTCTGTTTTGGGTTTTCTTGGTTCTAATTTGTGTGAAATACTAATTGGGGATGCCGAGTAAGAGATGAAAGTGGGTTAAGCCCTTTTTCAGGTTCGATACAGATGGATTATAATGGGTATATAAAATGTATCTCTATTTTCCTATCAAATAGGTGGAAAACTTGGTACCGGTTATCAATGATTTCCGAAGGATAGTTAGATCTTAATCCTGATAGATCTCTTTAGAAGCAAGAACCCTATTGTACCTTCCTTATCCCCACTTCCTGGATCATTACCACCAATATCTGCTGCTTATTTCATTCATGAAAACTTCCTCAGAGGAGGCCAGCACTCGAAGAACCAGCAACAGGAAAGCCTACGCCTTAAAAGTTGACAGATATAAATAATAATTAAGAAAAAAAACGAGAGAGAATAAACTGCATATTATTAATTTAATGTGCGCTCGTTTCGAATTCCGAACTCCGAGCTCCCAGCTCCAAGTTCCCGATTCTTGGATCTCTCTTCCGAGAAACATGTTTCGGGAGGAGCCGTGCGAGGAGTAGAAGGCGTCATTCCGTCATTCTGTGGTGTGTTTATGTTTCAGCCGAGCAGACAAGACTCATAAATTACAACCAATTATCAAATTAGATTTTTACAAAACATGCAGCTTAAATCATATAGGAGTGTTTTTCACATTTTACGACACAATCAGCCACAGATCGTTTTATCCAGGGGATGCGTCTCAGGTTTCCGTGCCTCTTTTTATGAAAGAACTTTAATTTTGGGGAATAAAAGTGGAATCAATTTTAAGACCAGGGCCCCGGTGATGGAGACAGTTAAAGGAAAAGTTTGCAATTGGAAAAATTAGCAGACAATGCGAGGCCCGACAACTTCGGGCAATTAATTTGGTGTAATTACTCAGGGCACCGTCACTCGGGGTGACAGATCTCTGGGTGAGATCTGGAGACGGAAAGGAGACGCTGCCGCTGCAATTATATGCATCTCGAGTGTGGTGTTGCCACCTCAACGCATCGATGGCAATGGGCTGGGTGCTGGATCTGATTCCTCCAACAATTGCGCCGGCATTTTAATGAGCCAAATGGGCCTGGCGGCTCCCCTTGAGTGGCGGCAAATTGCCCCCACCTCCCCAGCCCCTTTGGATGAACACCGAAAGGGTGCTACTCTAGTGGTTCTACTAATTGACATCGGCAGTGTCGTCTTCGTCTGTGATATCAAAAAGTTTCACGCACAAATTAAAACTGATGATTCCGCGGGGCAGATTTATTGGCCGGAGGGATAAGCATATGTTTCAATTTATTTCCAAGTTATTCAAGTTTCCAAGTACATAGTTAGTGTCTCCTTTTTTATATTATTCCTAGCATTATCAACATAATTTCCAAGAAATATATACCTGATGTTTTTCGTATAACACCTTTTTTGATATGTTTATTGGTAGTTTCTACCCTTTCTACCATCCATTCCACCGCCGAATAATTTCTATGTTTGTCGTGTTCCTACTTAGTAATTATGACAAATGTCTAACCCGAACATGAGCCCTCCTAATGCCACAAACAACATTCCCCCGTCGATTGTGGGGACACATCTGTGTGACATTTCTGTTGCTATTCTGTTTGGAGAGGCTCGCGACATTCTGGGGAGACGCCACCATCTGAGTGAGATTAATGCGGTGAGGAAAATCATAAATTAATTAGAAAACGGCTCAGTCCAGCTCCGGGGAAGTGAACTTTTTCTGTTTTTCGAAATGCAGATGCTTATTGGTGACATTTAGCGGCAATTTATTGTCATTAGGAGGAGACAGAGGGGTGGTGTTTCCAGTTCCCGAAGCCGAACTACAGGTGTTTTCAGAGAATCGCTTAATTAGCTTTTATTATTAGCTATGATGTGGCAACTAAGTGGCCAAATGTCACAGCCAGAGCGAGTCTCCCTCCGAACATCCGAGTGCCTAACTTCCTGTTTGAATCTTGGCGCCTAATGCCGACATTTAGGGACAATTAGCGCCACGCCTTTTGGCGCCAGTCAGCTAGGAGCATGTGCGTGGGTGCCTGGAATGTGGGTGCCGCAAGGATCGGTGGAATTCCTCTCTGTCGTCAGAGTGTCGCGACCAAAGCATCCTGTGAAAGGAGCTATATGCCTTGTACCATATGGCCTAGACTAAAAAACGTCTTTAAAAGACTCTAAATTTAATAAATATCATACGCTGTAAACATCAATTGTTATCTCTTCCAGAATCTGCGGTTTCCACAAAGCTTCCCGAAGCTCACACCGGATGTAGCCCTTAGTTGAAAATTGAAGACTTAAGCTGGGACCCATCACAACCCGGCTTCATAAGTCACCGAACCGTTGAAGCAGCCACTTCACCTGATAACGCAAGAATTGAAAAATATTTTTCCAAAAAAATATCAAGTGATATAGTTCAAAAATTATTCGGATGATTATATATATTATTGCACAATTATTCTGCTGCTGACGATTAAATAATATTTTTGTTTATACTTATTTTTTAATCGTCAGCAGCAAATGGATTATGCAACTGCAGCTTTATAAACTTGCTTCGAGTGTGTCTAGCCTAACTATAATTAACTGAGTTACTGCAAGTCAGCCAAGGTTGACTTGGTATTCAGCTTATTGGAGGCTGGAGAGCAGAAAAATTCAAGTTAAGCTTCAAAGTGGTCTGACTTGCATCAAACAGCCAGTATAGATGAATATGGGCCAAATATAGAGTTCTGGAAACGACCTTAAATCTTTTGAACTGAAATTCGGGACAGATACGTGCACACACCATGTCAATTGGTTCGAATCGTTTGTGACATGAACTTAGCAATGACATGAACCATGCAATGTAAATATATTTTAGCTTACATCTGAAATAGCAAAAACTTATTGTTAAAACTAACAAGAAACTTAAATTTATCAGAATATATAACACTTATTTATTAATAATGAATAATAAATTATGGAATAATCATGTAAAGTAAATAAATGACAAGGTTTGAAACAGGGAAAAGCAGGAACTTAAGGTAAGATACATTCTGCGATGTAATTCAGAATGGAATTTGAAAATTAGATAGAATGAACTGCCATTTCATTAATAGGCAAATCTAGTAGGCGAAAATTCTCAAAAAATTACACCTGTTGCCTATTTAAAGTTATCTCAGTCTGTGCAAACCATCGATAAAAGCTTTTTGAAAAAAAAACGGAATCATAATATCGATATGTATATATCGATATACTGATATTTTTTGTTATCAACAACCCTATGTTTATCGTCTTGTCGGGGCTTCTTGTTTATTCGTTTATCTTTTCCCCTTTTGCGCATGGTTCGCGGTTTGTTGCTCGCTCTGTTAGTCTTAAGATATTTTTTACGCAAAGTAGCGCGCCTGGCGCTTGGAGTGAACTGCAACGGACCATCATTTGAATAGTACGACCTGAAATCGAGTGCTTAACGGATTTTCGAGGGTAATTTAATTGCCATTTTTTAAAACGCGCGAAAATTGAGAATGCCATAAGCAGCATAGGAATAAAAAAAAAAAGCGAAAACCAAAAAACCGAAAAGAAGTGAAGTTGACATTGAAGTCGCTACGCGTGTGTGTTGGCGTGAGCTTTTGCTGGTGTGTGCGAAATTCTTTTGTGCTCTGGCGGTTCTGTGCAAAAAATAGTGGATGAAATAATTGCAAAATATGCTGAAGAGATGTATTTAAATGCAAATATCAAGTGCAGAGGCTTGTTTTGTAAAAATCAATAAAGCGCTGTAATTGTCGTCAACACTATTCCAGTGTTGTTGTTGTTATTCTGGCTGCCACAGGAGTTTCCGTCAACAAACAGCGGGGGAGGCCGCCCGCCCGCCCTCTCTCGCGCTCTCTCTTTCGTTCACTTCCTCAAGCCGCGCCACCCTCTCGGGACAATAGTGTCGCTTATCTTGTTTATTTTTATTTATTTGTAGCTTTACTATATCGTGTTGGATTCGCATTTGCTGGAGATTTCTAATGAAATAAATTTTTCGTGTTTTTTTTTTCGGTTCGCACCCCAGGAAGGAGAAGGTGTAAAAAGATAAAAAAAAACACAGACAACACAACAAGACAAGGTAAGTTAAAAACGCTAAACAATCGAAATGGCCACATGGCAACTGTTGTTTCGACTTCGCTTGTTGCACAGGCAGTCTCATTAAAATTAGCACACACCACCCCATCACACCCCACCCACACAGAGGCGCTTTGCTTGACAAGTTCAATAATCGAAAGTGCCCCTTCGCGGTCTGTATACTAATGGGCATGGGTGTCCGACCGTTCATTGCTCTGCTCATCTGAGATCTGAGATTTTGACTTATTGGCTGGCGTCTCCTCCTCCTCCTCCCCCTCGGACATGTTACAGCGCCACTTCCTCGTACGATAATGCAGCTGCTGGTGGGGCTCTTGATACCGTTAAACCCGTTTCTGACTCAAAATGTCGATTGTTTGTCTTGTTATTGTATTGCGATTGTTGTATGCTAACGTTAATTTGCCATTTTTGGCTGCCAGCTCGCTATTTGCCTGTCTCCCCCTCCACCTCCACCTCCCCCTCAAATTTGGTTGCAATTAAAAATTGATTTTCCTACTGCCAAGCATCGGCAATCAAATGCTCCGAACGTTGGTTTCTATTTCTGCAACAATGAAAAAGCAATTTTCCGTATCTACCTACTAAATAACAAAAACAAAAACAATAACAAACTCTGTCAAGGCATTATATCTGATTGTGTTGCTTTTGTTGTAGCCATTCGCTTGCCACACGTTTTGCGGCAGGCCATTGTCGTTGTCGTTGTTGCTGTTGTTGTCAGTATGTTGCAATGCTGGGCATGCCTAATTTTCGGGTTAACAAAAGTTAAGTGCTCAGGCTCTTAAAGCTTTGCCTTTTTGTTAACGAAACCGTTTTTCCCTACTACTTGTATGTAGTTTTTGTATTTTTTTTATAAGCGGCAACATCAACAATTGACAACCTGGGCCAACAACAAACTAAAACGGCATTTTCCCCAAAAAAAAATGGACTAAAAATGTTTCGTAGCGTGTCCGATTGGCATCAATTGGAGTGGCGCTAGGCAACTGTGTGAAGTCTTGAAAAAGCAAACAAAAACAAATGAATATACACGTGTATATGCGGGTTATAGAAAAATATATTATTGCAATGTGGTTGCTTGTACGGTGGTGTGGAATCAATTTCCAATTATTTACGCTCAGGTATTTCTCAATATATTGCACTCATTTACAGTCTATACTTTTAATAAAAAAAAAAGTAATTATTAAAATTAAATAAATAAAATAAAATAAAAAAAAGATACTTCCCATACCGGGAATCGAACCCGGGCCTTCTGGGTGAAAGCCAGATATCCTAGCCACTAGACCATATGGGATGTTGGCAACCCAGTAGCAAAGCGGCGTTTTGTTAGCAATTGACTTGGTTCTGCTTCGTGAATACAATTCTCTTGCTTATAAATTATATTTCACATATTATATACCCAAACCCGAATTATATCTGACAATTAAGCAATTAAGATAAGAAAAAGAAAATAAAATAAAGTAAAAGAAATTCGAGCAAAAAAGTTTCCCATACCGGGAATCGAACCCGGGCCTTCCGGGTGAGAGCCGGATATCCTAACCACTAGACAATATGGGACTTGAAGGCCCAGGTGGCTAAACTGTATCCTTATAGTTGGTCTTTGAGACAAACATTCTTACGACTGAATACTTTTGCTTTTTGTTATGGAAAAACAAGTGTATTTTAGAAAGCATTTCTTCTTCAGGTGTTGCACTTAGCGCCGCGGCTAATATTATATAACTGGAGTGGGGTAGAACATATCCCATATGGTCTAGTGGCTAGGATATCTGGCTTTCACCCAGAAGGCCCGGGTTCGATTCCCGGTATGGGAAGTAACTTTTTTTTTTGTCGTGTTTAAATAAATTATTTCGCCTGTTAACCGAAAATCCGACAACTACTTTTATTGACCCCACTTAGAGGCAGGCAGTACAACACCAATCATGGCTCAAGTGGTGTTTTAATGAGTCTCAGGCTGAACATAATCCGGCTCAATGAACTTCCCCGGTCATCTGGCGTCTGATCCCCATCATGTGCAGCTGCAACTCAATTTTCCGAGACCGAGACACTAGTTGGAAAAACGGCTAATTCATCAAAAGTGTGGCAAAGCCGAGAGCTAAAAACAGTGGGCTATTGTTGTTGCTCAACACGCCTACTTTTCGCTGGTGTCCGCCCCATTTGCCCCATGCTGTTTGTTGCTTGCCACTTTCCAAGTCAATTGAAAAACTCGTGTTGCTTTTATATGCCATCACCATCCGGAGTAAGCCCGACCGCCTGCCTGCCTGAGCTCTGAGCTTATACATATTGTATCCAGACATTAGAAGCGCGTGTGAGACGTACGATTGAGAAAGAAGCGTATAAAAAAGGCAAAGCGAACAAATTACCATTTTTTATAGTTTCAAAATGTTTGTTTTTTTTTTTTTCTCCTCTTCTGTTAAAGAAAGCCAAGCCCCGACAATCGATGCCAGAGCTTGGTAGAAATAACAAGAAAGACGGCAACTTTTTCGTTTCTGGTAAACGTTGAAGGAACGCCAACGCTGCCAGAGCTTTGTTTTTATTGTTAAACCAGTTGATCAGTTGAGCGACAGAAAGAGCAACAAAGACGAGAACGACAGCTGCTGCTTCGCTATATCCAAGTATATATATGAGTATTTCTCTCCAGATCTCCCGGCTGTGCTGGCTGATACGCTGACTGCATATTAAGAGCCCCTCGCTGCGCGCCTGCGTCCAACGACCGCATTGTTGGGAGCTGTCTAAGCTCTGTTTGTTTTGTTTTCGACTTGGAGCAGACAGACGGCCGGGTTAGGCAGGTAAGCAGGTAGCCAAGATAGTCAAGATGGGGCTCCAAACGTTCAGATGTGCAACAGGGAGGCATGTGCCTAATTGAATCCTCAATCTAGCAATAAAGTACGACGTCTTGGGTTTATAGAACTCGAAAAGTGCTTTGTCGTCTATGGACACCATAAAGGGCAATTAGCATGCCGCTATCCAACTGTCTATCCATTAAGAAAGACTCACGCACTCCAAATTTCTTTGTCGCCGACTTGACCTGGAGTCCCCGACTATGCCAGTGTCTGCCGTGAGGTGCAGGCCTGTCAGTTGAAACACAAAGGCAATGGCACTCTCGGGGAGTTGGCTAACGATACCCACCGTCCAAAATCACAATCGTAGTTTGTAGTTTGTAGTTTCACTCGCCCATTTAGCATGACAATCAGACAACAGAGGATGGGACACTAATACGCGCGGGTCATGCATGGCCTGCAGTCCGACGAACACACCTCTTTCGCTTTGTTTGCTGCAAAATAAAAAAAGGAGGAAAAAAAAATTAAATACTGAAACCAAAACCGTTTTCACTCTTCATTTTCATGTTTGTGAAAATCCGCAAGCCGTCACGCCCAGGCCGAAAACCCCAGTCTCAGTCCCAGTCCCAGTCCCGAAAGAAGGGCCCCCACAGGCCATTGACACACATTTTGGCCGTGCTTTGCGTGTGCTGGCTCCCCAATCTCAGGCCAATGCCGAGGCCAAGATATTGGGGCTTCTGGCCAAGACACGACTCATGTAGACACTATAATGTCGTGGATCCCCCCGATCGGAATATAAAGAAAGCGTTCGGAAAGTGATACGACGATGCTGCAGACGCATGTCCAATAAATAAATTGAAATATTTACGCTTCTCAACGAAAAAAAAAAAGGAAAAGAACCGGTCTGTGAGAAGTCTGATTCCCAAGTCTGTCTGGCCTGCATCCCTATAATCGCTCCGTTTGTCTCGGGGAGCCGCAGGCTGCACCACCGAGCCGGCGCAGTTGCAGTTGCAGCTGTGACCCACTCCCAGTTGTCCATTTAAAGCGGCCAGACGACGACGATGTGCGGCTTTGGAGAAAAACGTATCTGCGCACATTTATCGCCAAGCAGACAGACAGACAGCCAGCCAGCTCGGCTCTTGTGGCGGTGGTTCGCGGGTCTAATGCCAAAAATCAGAAAAATGAAAATTTCACCTCCGGTCACACGCTTGAGGAGTCATACACTGGGCAGCTGGGCATGCACCACCGTGCTCCGGTGAAATGGATAGCGCCAATGGCCGTTGTAGAGATTGCAGGCCCTGGGTAATTAACCAACTGAGCCTATGGGCTATGAAATTGATTGGAAGACCGAAAATGGAGCAATAATCGATGGCCCAAGGATTTGGCTTTAAAACCCTAGCTCACCTATGGGAAGTTTCTTTTCGTGTGGCTTAGAGTGAAACTTAATTGCGAGGAATCTCTAGCCTCTTTACTAATCGAGGCAGAGCAGTGCCTTACCTTTTTGGGCCTAATTCGATGTGTTACCGTCGATAACTCAGTAAGCTCCACTTCATAGAGAGCGCATTTTGCGCCTAATGATTGTTCGTTATTTACCAAAACAGGTATCTGGTATCCAGCCATTGAGATGGATTTTCTTGAGTTTTTCAAGCTCATTCCGAGCTTAAGATAGGCCCATGAAGATAAATGATTGAATGTCCGGATGCACTTGAAGCGCACATAAAAATAGTGGCTTGTCAGCATCATCAGGGGTGTCTAATGAACACAGAGAGAAATATATCTTTCAAGTCCAAGTACTATCATCTATAAGGAGTGGATCTCACTTCTCTGAGTGCACTTTTCCACGATGATGTGAGGAAAATCAACTTGGGCTGGTGAATCAATCACTGTGTCTGCCTAGCTTCAGTTTCGGCCTCATCTTCTCTCAGATGAGGCTCTGGCCATTTAAATTAACCGGTTCGCCTTGTTTGCGGTTCCCCTAATGAGCAGCACTTGTTGTCCGCTCAAGAGTTTTGGAGAGATTGCAGACACATATCCCCACAATCATATCCCGTGTCCATCTTCATAAATGCTTTCTCTCTGGGGGGATTTGTGGGAAAGCCTAGGCCCTGGGGCTCTACACGTGTTGGCGGCGGTGAAGCTCGTTAGGTCAAGACCAGAGATTAATTGAAAAGATTTATCAGTGGATACATTTTGGTTTAGTTTCATGCACAAAGTCGAG